TTCCACATTTTTAAAAATTTTGGCGTACGAGGGCACCAGGATGATCCTCTTTGGGTTCTTTTGCATTTTTTTCCCAGCCCCCCAACTTCCATCAACCGAGGCAAGAGTCGCCGCATAATCAACCCAAATCTAATATAAGAAAGATACACATTTTCAAAATTTTTAACATTACTCCAACCTGGGATAAAACCTACCACAACTCTAAGGGCTCCAGCCTTTCTTTGTTTTGGCGAAAAAGTCTCGTGACAACAGGTTCAGTATGGAACCTCAAAGCCTAAAATCCTGTGTCTGCTTAATATTCTAGAAGAACTCATCTGAACTGATTGACAACGTGCCTCTTTTGTCGAGGAGACGCCTTTGATATCTTTTTTTTATCCCCTGAGATTATAACCCCGGCCTGACCGAGGCTAGTACATATTAAGATTTTTGGGGGTTTTGGGGAAACCCGGTGGTAATCATATGTCATCAGCAAAATAAACCATATAATGATGGGGGGGCTAGGCATGGCTTAAATAAGGCATTAAACAAAATGTTGAAAAGGGTGGGACAAGCCACCCCCTGTGGGGTTCCAAATTTAAAAAACTTTAGTTTCACTTCTTTTCCCCCGGGAAAAACACAGAAAAGACTTTCTGTGGGCAGGTAACCTTTTAACCAGGGAAGCCATCCTCCAACATCCATTCTGGCAAGTTCACTAATATTTCATGTCGGGTTTGGGTACATCAAAAGCGGATTTAAGGTCAAGGAAAGTAGTGTAGAGCTGTCAGTGTGCAGAGTGAGAAAGGGGGTAATGCAATGATGCCACTCCTTCCTCATGAACCATGCAACCGGGGACAAGAATTCCTTAATCTGTGCATAAACGATTTAAAAACATCCTTTTGAATGTTTTAAAAACCCAAGCGATAGTAAGGATATTGGTGAAATGATTTTTTTTGATTTGGGCTTCGGGAATGGAAAGAGGCTATTGCCATGTTTACGGAGCTCCCCAGTGACATAACTCTTTTTATATAATTCAAGTAAGGATTACCTGGGACCGCACAGCAATCTGATATGTTGTAAGAAACCATCCTCACCAGGGGACGTGGATTTTTCCCTTAGTTGTCGCATCAAGTTTTAATTAGTGAAAGGAATGTTGCAGTCATCTGCTTGCTGAGCATAAAGCAAACAATCCTCCCTTGCATCATATTTTCCATTAATTTCGCCTTGTGGTACTGGGAAGACGCTAGCTAGATGTACACCCAAGCACTGACTAACTCATTTGCCCTATCAAGGAGAGGGTGCGCGATCTGCCCCCGTTCTGTTACCCTTAATCTATTTATGTCCCTCCATCCCAGCTAAGTGGGGGGTGAGCATTGAGACCATTGACAAAATTGTTTCCCCTCCGTTGCCGCACTCTGTCATAAACCCCTCTGGGGCACAAGGGCATTTTGGAAGAGGGCCCGCATTTCAGGGGTACGATGGTTTCTATAGGGTAGGCCTAGTCTGGGGCATACGTTTCAAAGTTCGAAATTTAGAATCATTGTAAAGGTATGTTTTTTTTTAAGACTTATGTTTTTATGGAAGTCATTAGATTAGAGTAGTAGGAGGTTTCAGACAGCTCTAAGAATTTTTGAAAAACGCTCACAAGGTCAATGTTTTAAATCTCGACAGAGGACACTCTAGGAATTATACCAGTCATCACATGTCACAAAGTCACATTTTGATCAGGGGAAACATTTAAAAGTTTCCATTTTAATCCCCCCCAGGAGAATAATTACCAATACTAGAGAGGTTAGCCTTGGGAAATGATCAGACGCTATATCGTTACAATGGAAACCACACTGGCAGAAGAATGTTGAACCCGGCACCGACAAAGGACACCCCAAGATATGTGTGGTTCAAGGTCACCTACAATTTGCACATTATCATGACTTTTTAAAGTGACAACAGTTGATTGCCATTAGATTACCAAATAAGTTTCCAAACGGCTTGCATTATAATCCCAATAATGGAGTAGGTTCAGACTGACAAAATTTGGGGGCTCCAAGTAATAAACTATCACAGGAGCATACAATTAAAAATGTTGAGAGCAAGTTTTCCCAATAAATCCTAAAACCCCTGATCAGCCCCCCCCTTTTTTTCTAGTGCAAGAAGTTAAGGGAATGATTTTTTAATAATAAACACAAGAATTAGTAGATTTGAGGGTTTTATCAACAAACGATGGCAATTTAGGGGGGTGGGATTTTTTGGACTCTGCCTCTTTTAGACACACAATTCAAGATTCAGTGGTTACTTTATGATGCAGGTCCCAAAAACTTTTTCAATGATCAAAAATTTTTCCAAATTTAAAAGGTATTTTATACAGTTGGTTCCCTTATAAAAGCCCCCGGGTAATTCAAATTTTTCGCAAAATGAAAAAACTTACTAAATAAAAAACGACATAATCAAATCAATACATCAGTATACCTTATCCTGATCTCCAAAAAACACTTCCATTTGGAACCTCTTGGGATCTTTGTAACAGAGGCACTGCGCTCTTTTCTGGAATGTATGGAAGTGACCATCCCCCGCACTCACCCCCGCTTTTATTAAAACTCACCATCACACATGAATCCTTTCCCCCACATTAGACCAGTGAAAGCATACACCATTATCAACAACCCGGTCATCTCCACACCAGTACTACAATACATTACACTCATCAGGGTTGAAATATCAGATGGGCTTCACGCCCTTACATCTTCACTGGATTTTAAAAACCACTATCAATTTATGTTTTTGAATTATTAACACCACGCAAACATCATTTTTTCATCATCACCCCACTCATTTCATATGGCTGACAACTTTGGGGGATGTACTCATTGCAACCTCTGTAAGTTTTTCCTCATGGTGCTCAAGTTGTTGTTTCAAACACCATTGTTGCTTCTCCAGTACTGTTATGCACAGCTGCATGTTGTGTACCACCCCAGCAAGACTAGCATCATTTGGAGGTATGAAGTCCCGATCAGCTGAGCCAGGTGGCTGACTGACAGCTGACTCAGCCAGACAGATGGTGTCAACACCAGCAGCATTACTAGTGTTGATAGCAGACGTGATCATGCTCTGCTGATGTTCTCCCAGAGATAGCGATACATTTTATCGCTAAAATTTTGCCTCGCATAGTGTTAAAAAATTTGCTCAACGCGATTCGTCTGAGACACGTCCATGCGGCCTGAGCCAGCCTCACTTGTTCTGCCAGTGGCATTGTTTACAAGCCAGCCTCCACAGTAACATTCAAGCATACAATTGGAACATTTCATATTATTACAGCCTTTTTATAGTGATTTCACCTGAAAAGTAAGTGACCATGGGCCCCAAGAAAGCTTCTAGTGCCAACCCTACAGGAATAAGGGTGAGAATTACTATGGAGATGAAGAAAGAGATCATTGCTAAGTATGAAAGTGGAGTGTGTGTCTCCGAGCTGGCCAGGTTGTATAGTAAACCCCAATCAACCATCGCTTCTATTGTGTCCAAGAGAACGGCAATCAAGGAAGCTGTTCTTGCCAAAGGTTTAACTGTGCTTTCGAAACAGAGATCGCAAGTGATAGAAGATGTTGAGAGACTGTTATTGGTGTGGGTAAACGAAAAACAGATAGCAGGCGATAGCATCTCTCAAGCGATCATATGTGAAAAGGCTAGGAAGTTGCACAAGGATTTAATTAGAAAAATGCCTGCAAGTAGTGTTGATGCGAGTGAATTTAAGGCCAGCAAAGGTTGGTTTGAGAGATTTAAGAGGCGTAGTGGCATACATAGTGTGATAAGGCATGGTGAGGCTGCCAGTTCGGACCAAAAAGCAGCTGAAAAATATGTGCATGAATTCAAGGAGTACATAGACAGTGAAGGACTGAAACTGGAACAAGTGTTTAATTGTGACGAAACAGGCCTGTTTTGGAAGAAAATGCCAAGCAGGACCTACATTACTCAGGAGGAAAAGGCACTCCCAGGACATAAGCCTATGAAAGACAGGCTTACTCTTCTCATGTGTGCCAATGCTTCGGAGAGGAGGGGGAGAGAAATTGAAGAAGTTGCCTACTTCAAAGATTAAGGAAATCTGTGCAAAGTGGCTTGAAGTGCAAACCTTCATGGATGAAAATCACCCTCAGACAGCTATTGCAAGCCGTGCTGGTGACTATTACACTGACACTGTTGTGAAACACTTTAGGAAAGTCATAAAGGAACGAGAGGTACAGGCCACTATGGACAGATGTGTTGTGCGACAGAAGTCCAGTGACTGAAGCTGGTCCTAGTGGCATTAAAAGAAGAAGGGAAGCAACCCCGGAAAAGGACTTGACACCTCAAGTCCTATTGGAAGGGGATTCCCCTTCTAAACACTAAAACCATCCAGTCTCCCCTCCTCCCATCCCATCAATCATCACCACATCTTCAATAAAGGTAAGTGTCATGTAACTGTGCATGTTTTCTTAAGTTTGTGTGTATTAAAATTAATATTTCATATGGTAAAAATTTTTTTTTTTCATACTTTTGGGTGTCTTGCACGGATTAATTTGATTTCCATTATTTCTTATGGGGAAAATTAATTCGCATAACGATAATTTCGCATAACATTGAGCTCTCAGGAACGGATTAATAGCGTTATGCGGGGGTCCACTGTACTAGGAATAATGTAATTGGCCTAAAATGGGAGTCAGAGTGGGCAAAATTGCTGATGCGTAAATATCGCTGACGCTGCAAAATTTGCCTGCATAATTTCATCAGTTTTCCATCAAATTTCATACTTTTTGTTGTATTACCTCCAGGAAAAGATTCTCTACCATTTCATGAGAAAAAATAATTTTTTTTTTTTAAATTATTGAACCCTGTGGACAAGTTTCAGATCAAGGGTCTGGACCCTGGAAGGGTTAAGTGAGAGATGACTGTATGTATCATACAAGGAATGTATAAGTACATCTGAAAGTGTAAACTAAGCATGTATTGAAAGCAGTGAATTAAATCCTGCTAATCTGTTATTATTTCTTTTGCAGCCTGTTCTGTTATATGAAGAATTAGCCTTGCACTACCAACACCCACTACCATAAAGCTCATGTAAGTGGTAAAGTTGCTGCAGATACAACGCAGTGTTGCAGAACACGCCACATTAACCTAACATGTTGATTGTTATGTATATTGTGTAATATTTCAAGGTGCCCTCAACATCTTTGCCAGTTTGGCTTCAACATCCTGCTAGTATGGCTTCAACATCCTGCTAGTATGGCTTCAACATCCTTGCTAGTATGGCTTCAACATCCTTGCTAGTATGGCTTCAACATCCTTGCTAGTATGGCTTTAACATCCTGCTAGTATGGCTCACATCCTTGCTAGTATGGCTTCAACATCCTTGCTAGTATGGCTTCAACATCCTTGCTAGTATGGCTTCAACATCCTTGCTAGTATGGCTTCAACATCCTTGCTAGTATGGCTTCAACATCCTTGCTAGTATGGCTTCAACATCCTTGCTAGTATGGCTTCAACATCCTTGCTAGTATGGCTTCAACATCCTTGCTAGTATGGCTTCAACATCCTTGCTAGTATGGCTTCACATCCTTGCTAGTAATGGCTTCACATCCTGCTAGTATGGCTTCAACATCCTTGCTAGTATGGCTTCAACAACCTTGCTAGTATGGCTTCAACATCTTGCTAGTATGGCTTCAACATCCTTGCTAGTATGGCTTCAACATCCTCGCTAGTATGGCTTCAACATCCTCTGCTAGTATGGCTTCAACATCTTGCTAGTATGGCTTCAACATCCTGCTAGTATGGCTTCAACATCCTGCTAGTATGGCTTCAACATCCTTGCTAGTATGGCTTCAACATCCTTGCTAGTATGGCTTCAACATCCTTGCTAGTATGGCTTCAACATCCTTGCTAGTATGGCTTCAACATCCTTGCTAGTATGGCTTCAACATCCTTGCTAGTATGGCTTCAACATCCTTGCTAGTATGGCTTCAACATCCTTGCTAGTATGGCTTCAACATCCTTGCTAGTATGGCTTCAACATCCTTGCTAGTATGGCTTCAACATCCTTGCTAGTATGCTTCAACATCCTGCTAGTATGGCTTCAACATCCTTGCTAGTATGGCTTCAACATCCTTGCTAGTATGGCTTCAACATCCTCGCTAGTATGACTTCAACATACTTGCTAGTATGGCTTCAACATCCTTGCTAGTATGGCTTCAACATCCTTGCTAGTATGGCTTCAACATCCTTGCTAGTATGGCTTCAACATCCTTGCTAGTATGGCTTCAACATCCTCGCTAGTATGGCTTCAACATCTGCTAGTATGGCTTCAACATCCTTGCTAGTATGGCTTCAACATCCTCGCTAGTATGGCTTCAACATCCTTGCTAGTATGGCTTCAACATCCTTGCTAGTATGGCTTCAACATCCTTGCTAGTATGGCTTCAACATCCTTGCTAGTATGCTTCAACATCCTTGCTAGTATTGGGCTTCAACATCCTTGCTAGTATGGCTTCAACATCCTTGCTAGTATGGCTTCAACATCCTTGCTAGTATGACTTCAACATCCTCGCTAGTATGGCTTCAACATCCTTGCTAGTATGGCTTCAACATCCTCGCTAGTATGGCTTCAACATCCTTGCTAGTATGGCTTCAACATCCTTGCTAGTATGGCTTCAACATCCTTGCTAGTATGGCTTCAACATCCTTGCTAGTATGGCTTCAACATCCTCGCTAGTATGGCTTCAACATCCTCGCTAGTATGGCTTCAACATCCTCGCTAGTATGGCTTCAACATCCTCGCTAGTATGGCTTCAACATCCTCGCTAGTATGGCTTCAACATCCTGCTAGTATGGCTTCAACATCCTTCGCTAGTATGGCTTCAACATCCTGCTAGTATGAGCTTCAACATCCTCGCTAGTATGGCTTCAACATCCTGCTAGTATGCTTCAACATCCTGCTAGTATGGCTTCAACATCCTTGCTAGTATGGCTTCAACATCCTTGCTAGTATGGCTTCAAGCATCGGCTTGCTAGTATGGCTTCAACATCCTGCTAGTATGGCTTCAACCATCCTGCTAGTATGGCTTCAACAATCGTTGCTAGTATGGCTTCAACATCCTTGCTAGTATGGCTTCAACATCCTGCTAGTATGGCTTCAACATCCTGCTAGTATGGCTTCAACATCCTTGCTAGTATGGCTTCAACATCCTTGCTAGTATGGCTTCAACATCCTTGCTAGTATGGCTTCAACATCCTTGCTAGTATGGCTTCAACATCCTTGCTAGTATGACTTCAACATCCTCGCTAGTAATGGCTTCAACATCCTTGCTAGTATGGCTTCAACATCCTGCTAGTATGGCTTCAACATCCTGCTAGTATGGCTTCAACATCCTTGCTAGTATGGCTTCAACATCCTTGCTAGTATGCTTCAACATCCTTGCTAGTATGGCTTCAACATCCTTGCTAGTATGGCTTCAAACATCCTTGCTAGTATTGTTCAACATCCTTGCTAGTATGCTTCAACATCCTTGCTAGTATGGCTTCAACATCCTGCTAGTATGACTTCAACATCCTTGCTAGTATGACTTCAAACATCCTGCTAGTATGGCTTAAACATCCTTGCTAGTATGGCTTCAACATCCTTGCTAGTATGGCTTCAACATCCTGCTAGTATGGCTTCAACATCCTTGCTAGTATGGCTTCAACATCCTTGCTAGTATGGCTTCAACATCCTTGCTAGTATGGCTTCAACATCCTGCTAGTATGGCTTCAACATCATTGCTAGTATGGCTTCAACATCCTCGCTAGTATGGCTTCAACATCCTTGCTAGTATGGCTTCAACATCCTTGCTAGTATGGCTTCAACATCCTGCTAGTATGGCTTCAACATCCTTGCTAGTATGGCTTCAACATCCTTGCTAGTATGGCTTCAACATCCTGCTAGTATGGCTTCAACATCCTTGCTAGTATGGCTTCAACATCCTGCTAGTATGGCTTCAACATCCTTGCTAGTATGGCTTCAACATCCTGCTAGTATGGCTTCAACATCCTTGCTAGTATGACTTCAACATCCTGCTAGTATGGCTTCAACATCCTTGCTAGTATGGCTTCAACATCCTTGCTAGTATGGCTTCAACATCCTTGCTAGTATGCTTCAACATCCTGCTAGTATGGCTTCAACATCCTTGCTAGTATGACTTCAACATCCTTGCTAGTATGGCTTCAACATCCTTGCTAGTATGGCTTCAACATCCTGCTAGTATGGCTTCAACATCCTTGCTAGTATGGCTTCAACATCCTTGCTAGTATGGCTTCAACATCCTTGCTAGTATGGCTTCAACATCCTGCTAGTATGGCTTCAACATCCTCGCTAGTATGGCTTCAACATCCTTGTAGTATGACTTGAACATCCTGCTAGTATGGCTTCAACATCCTTGCTAGTATGGCTTCAACATCCTCGCTAGTATGGCTTCAACATCCTGCTAGTATGGCTTCAACATCCTGCTAGTATGGCTATCAACATCCTTGCTAGTATGGCTTCAACATCCTCGCTAGTATGGCTTCAACATCCTGCTAGTATGGCTTCAACATCCTTGCTAGTATGGCTTCAACATCCTGCTAGTATGGCTTCAACATCCTTGCTATATGGCTTCAACATCCTTGCTAGTATGGCTTCAACATCCTTGCTAGTATGGCTTCAACATCCTCGCTAGTATGGCTTCAACATCCTCGCTAGTATGGCTTCAACATCCTCGCTAGTATGGCTTCAACATCCTTGCTAGTATGGCTTCAACATCCTGCTAGTATGGCTTCAACATCCTCCTAGTATGGCTTCAACATCCTGCTAGTATGGCTTCAACATCCTCGCTAGTATGGCTTCAACATCCTGCTAGTATGACTTCAACATCCTGCTAGTATGGCTTCAACATCCTTGCTAGTATGGCTTCAACATCCTGCTAGTATGGCTTCAAACATCCTTGCTAGTATGGCTTCAACATCCTTGCTAGTATGGCTTCAACATCCTTGCTAGTATGGCTTCAACATCCTTGCTAGTATGGCTTCAACATCCTCGCTAGTATGGCTTCAACATCCTCGCTAGTATGGCTTCAACATCCTCGCTAGTATGGCTTCAACATCCTTGCTAGTATGGCTTCAACATCCTTGCTAGTATGGCTTCAACATCCTTGCTAGTATGCTTCAACATCCTTGCTAGTATGGCTTCAACATCCTCGCTATTAGTATGGCTTCAACATCCTTGCTAGTATGGCTTCAACATCCTTGCTAGTATGGCTTCAACATCCTTGCTAGTATGGCTTCAACATCCTTGCTAGTATGGCTTCAACATCCTTGCTAGTATGGCTTCAACATCCTTCGCTAGTATGGCTCAACATCCTTGCTAGTATGGCTTCAACATCCTTGCTAGTATGGCTTCAACATCCTTGTCTTGTATGGCTTCAACATCCTTGCTAGTATGGCTTCAACATCCTTGTAGTATGGCTTCAACATCCTCTGCTAGTAATGGCTTCAACATCCTTGCTAGTATGCTTCAACATCCTTGCTAGTATGGCTTCAACATCCTTGCTAGTATGGCTTCAACTCCTTGCTAGTATGGCTTCAACATCCTTGCTAGTATGGCTTCAAATTCTTGCTGTATGGCTTCAACATCTTGCTAGTTGGCTTCAACATCCTTCTAGTATGTTCTTAACATCCTTGCTAGTATGGCTTCAACATCCTTGTAGTTTTGGCTTCAACATGCTTTTGTCTAGTATGGCTTCAACATCCTTGCTGTATTGGCTTCAACATCCTTGTAGTATGGTTCAACATCCTTGTTGTATGCTCAAATCCTTGCTATATGCTTCAACTCCTCTTAGTATGGCTTCAACATCCTTGTAGTATGGCTATCAACATCCTTGTGTATGACTTCAACATCCTGCTGTATGTTTAACATCCTTGATTGTTTGGCTACTCCTTGTGATGGTTTCAACACCTTGTATTGGTTCAACATCCTTGTGTATGGCTTCAACATCCATTGTGTTGGCTTCTACTACCTTGTGTTTGTCCATATCCTTGAGTTGTCTTCACCATCCTTGTAGTATGGCTTCAACATCCTTGCTGTTTGGCTTCAACTACCCTTGCTATATGTTCTTCAACATCCTTGATTGTTTCAACATCCTTGCTAGTTATGCTTCAACATCCTTGTTAGTATGGCTTCACATCCTCGCTATGTATGACTTCACACCTGCTAGTATGCTTCAAATCCTTGCTAGTTTGGCTCAACTCCTTTGTAGTATGGCTTCAACTATCCTTGCTTGTTGGCTTCAACATCCTTGCTAGTATGGCTTCAACATCCTTGCTAGTATGGCTTCAACATCCTTGCTAGTATGGCTTCAACATCCTCGCTAGTATGGCTTCAACATCCTTGCATTGTTCTTCAACATCCTTGCTAGTTGGTTCTTGCAATGCTTCACTTGCTAGTATGGCTTCAACATCCTTGCTAGTATGGCTTCAACATCCTCGCTAGTATGGCTTCAACATCCTCGCTAGTATGGCTTCAACATCCTTGCTAGTATGGCTTCAACATCCTCGCTAGTATGGCTTCAACATGTACAGTTGGAATTCAGAATTCTCCTGCTTTCTAATACACTTGATTTAATTATGCAATATTTTTACTGCAGCTGTTTTTAAACATTGCTTGTTCAGGTTTTGTTGATATTCACTGCTTGTATGTTTGGCACAGTACCACTTGATTGTTGTTTGGCACAGTACCACTTGATTGTTTGGCACACTACCACTTGATTGTTGCACACTACCTGATTGTTTGCACACTACCACTTGATTGTTTGGCACACTACCACTTGATTGTTTGGCACACTACCACTTGATTGTTTGGCACACTACCACTTGATTGTTTGGCACACTACCACTTGATTGTTTGGCACACTACCACTTGATTGTTTGGCACACTACCACTTGATTGTTTGGCACACTACCACTTGATTGTTTGGCACACTACCACTTGATTGTTTGGCACACTACCACTTTGATTGTTTGGCACACTACCACTTGATTGTTTGGCACACTACCACTTGATTGTTTGGCACACTACCACTTGATTGTTTGGCACACTACCACTTGATTGTTTGGCACACTACCACTTGATTGTTTGGCACACTACCACTTGATTGTTTGGCACACTACCACTTGATTGTTTGGCACACTACCACTTGATTGTTTGGCACACTACCACTTGATTGTTGCTTCACACACTGCCACTTGATTGTTGTTTGGCACACTACCATTTGATTGTTGTTTGGCACACTACCACTTGATTGTTGCTTGGCACACAATCACTTGATTGTTTGGCACATTACCACTTGATTGTTCTTTGGCACACTGCCACTTGATTGTTTGGCACACTACCACTTGATTGTTGCTTGGCACACTGCCACTTGATTGTTTGGCACACTACCACTTGATTGTTGCTTGGCACACTGCCACTTGATTGTTTGGCACACTACCACTTGATCGTTGCTTGCACACTACCACTTGATTGTTGTTTGGCACACTACCACTTGATTGTTGTTTGGCACACTACCACTTGATTGTTGTTTGGCACACTACCACTTGATTGTTTGGTGCACTACCACTTGATTGTTGCTTGGTACACTACCACTTGATTGGCAAACTACCACTTGATTGTTGTTTGGCACATTGCCACTTGTATGTTGCTTGGCACACTACCACATGATTGTTGCTTGGCACACTACCACTTGATTGTTACTGGGCACACTGCAACTTTATTGTTTCTGGGCACACTACCACTTGACACTTGATTGTTACTGGGCATGCTACCACTTGATTGTTACTGGGCACACTACCACTAGACACTTGATTGTTACTGGGCACACTGCAACTTTATTGTTTCTGGGCACACTACCACTAGACACTTGATTGTTACTGGGCACACTACCACTAGACACTTGATTGTTACTGGGAACACTACCACTTGATTGTTACTGGCCACACTACCACTAGACACTTGATTGTTACTGGGAACACTACCACTTGATTGTTACTGGCCACACTACCACTAGACACTTGATTTTTACTGGCCACACTACCACTAGACACTTGATTGTTACTGGGAACACTACCACTTGATTGTTACTGGCCACACTACACTAGACACTTGATTTTTACTGGCCACACTACCACTAGACACTTGATTGTTACTGGGAACACTACCACTTGATTGTTACTGGCCACACTACCACTAGACACTTGATTGTTACTGGGAACACTACCACTTGATTGTTACTGGCCACACTACCACTAGACACTTGATTGTTACTGGGCACACTACCACTAGACACTTGATTGTTACTGGGCACACTACCACTAGATTGTTACTGGCCACACTACCACTTGATTGTTACTGGCCACACTACCACTAAATTGTTACTGGCCACAGTACTACTAGATTGTTACTGGCCACACTACCACTAGATTGTTACTGGCCACACTACCACTAGATTGTTTCTGGCCACATTACCACTTGATTGTTACTGGCCACACTACCACTTGATTGTTTCCGGCCACACTACCACTAGATTGTTACTGGCCACACTACCAGTAGATTGTTACTGGCCACACTACCACTTGATTGTTGCTTGGCACACTATCACTTGATTGTTTGGCACACTACCACTTGATTGTTACTGGCCACACTACCACTAGATTGTTACTGGCCACACTACCACTTGATTGTTACTGGCCACACTACCACTAGATTATTCCTGGCCACACTACCCCTGGATTCGGTATATTAGAATGATGTGTAATGATATATGGCCAAGTAATTTTTAAGTAATTTAATGTGAAATGTCTGTTTCTGGCTTGAGGACTTGCGTCTCATCCAGGAACCTCACTCCTGCATGTTGCCAGGTTTAACTGTCCATGAAGCTTAACATCACATTTTGAAATAGTGTGAATGTTTTACCTTATTTATGTGAAGACTTAACCTAATTTTGTGTTTTGGGGCACAAACTGAAATTTTAACCACATTTTTTTGTTTCCTCATACGTGAGAAAAACCATATCAAGATTACTTTCTAAATTAATGTAGTCCAGTACTTCACATGTAAGTTAATACAGGAATGATACTGGTTTTTTTTTCAGTGTGTCGGCAGTACTCCACAACAGTCAGATCTGATGCATCACGTGAAGGCTGATATGACAGAGAAACCACATCGGTGTTTGGAATGCTTGAAATACTTTCCAAGTAAAACACGACTCATACGTCACACAAGAGTTCATACTGGAGAGAAACCATATCAGTGTTCTGAGTGTTTAAAAGAATTTTCACAGAAGTCGTCTCTGATACTTCATACAAGAGTTCACACAGGAGAGAAACCTTATAAATGTTCAAGGTGTCTAAAAGATTTTTCACAGAGATCAACTTTAATGCAACATATGAGAGTACATTCAGGTGAGAAACCATATCAGTGTTCAGTGTGTCTAAAACACTTCTCACAAAATTCAAATTTAATGCAACACATGAGAGTTCACACAGGAGAGAAACCTTATCAATGTTCAGAGTGTCACAAAGACTTTAAACAAAAATCTGTTCTAGTACAACACATGAGAGCTCATACTGGAGAGAAACCATTTCAGTGTTCAGAATGCTTAAAGGAGTTTAGAGGGAAAAAAAATTTAAAACAGCACATGAGAGTTCATACAGGAGAGAAGCCTTATCGGTGTCCAGTGTGTTCAAAAGATTTTTCAAAAAAGTCACATTTAGTACGACACAAAAGAGTTCATATGGGAGATCAGCTATTTCAGTGTTCGGAATGTTTCAAAGATTTTAAACATAAATCAAATCTAATCCTTCACATGAAAGCTCATGTAAAAGAGAAACCGTATCGTTGTTCAGAGTGTCTAAAAGATTTTAAACAAAAATCCTATCTAATGCTTCATCAGAGAGTTCATACACAAGAGGCAATAGCACTTCAGTGTTCCATATGTCTCAAATTTTTATCAAAAAAATCACATTTAATACGACACATGATAGCTCATACAACAGAGAAAGCATAATGCTCTTTGGTTTCTGGCAGAATTTTAATTTAAGTATAATAAAATCTTGAGAATTCAGAAGAGAAACCACATTAGCATTCTGTATTTGAAATTTTTAAAAAAATTTCAACTCGTTAGGTATTTGAGAACCCATATAAAATTTAGGAATGCATTTTTACATTGAGGTTATCTAGTAACAAAAAAACTTGCATGAATGTTAGTTGATTTTGGATTAAGAGAACAAAACAAAATGGTAAGTTTGAGGGCACTGCAGTGTACCTGTCTGTCCTCTACCAACAACACTGTGTGTGTGTGTGAGGACACTGCAGTGTACCTGTCTGTTCTCAACCAACAACACTGTGTGTGTGTGTGAGGACACTGCAGTGTACCTGTCTGTTCTCAACCAACAACACTGTGTGTGTGTGTGTGAGGACACTGCAGTGTACCTGTTTGTTCTCAACCAACAACACTGTGTGTGTGTGTGTGAGGACACTGCAGTGTACCTGTCTGTTCTCAACCAACAACACTGTGTGTGTGTGTGAGGACACTGCAGTGTACCTGTCTGTTCTCCACCAACAGCAGTGTGTGCATGTGAGGACACTGCAGTGTACCTGTCTGTCCTCCACCAACAGCAGTGTGTGCATGTGAGGACACTGCAGTATACCTGTCTGTTCTCCATCAACAACAGTGTGTGTGTGTGAGGACACTGCAGTGTACCTGTCTGTCCTCCACCAACAACAGTGTGTGTGCGAGGACACTGCAGTATACCTGTCTGTTCTCAACCAACAACAGTGTGTGTGCGAGGACACTGCAGTATACCTGTCTGTTCTCAACCAACAACAGTGTGTTGTGCGAGGACACTGCAGTATACCTGTCTGTTCTCAACCAACAACAGTGTGTGTGCGAGGACACTGCAGTATACCTGTCTGTTCTCAACCAACAACAGTGTGTGTGCGAGGACACTGCAGTATACCTGTCTGTTCTCAACCAACAACAGTGTGTGTGCGAGGACACTGCAGTATACCTGTCTGTTCTCAACCAACAACAGTTGTGTGTGCGAGGACACTGCAGTATACCTGTCTGTCCTCCACCAACAACAGTGTGTGTGTGCGAGGACACTGCAGTATACCTGTCTGTTCTCCATCAACAACAGTGTGTGTGTGTGAGGACACTGCAGTGTACCTGTCTGTCCTCCACCAACAACAGCGTGTGTGTGAGGACACTGCAGTGTACCTGTCTGTTCTCAACCAACAACAGTGTGTGTGTGAGGACACTGCAGTGTACCTGTCTGTCCTCCACCAACAACAGTGTGTGTGTGAGGACACTGCAGTGTACCTGTCTGTTCTCCACCAACAACTGAGTGTGTGTGTGTGAGGACACTGCAGTGTACCTGTCTGTCCTCCACCAACAACAGTGTGTGTGTGAGGACACTGCAGTGTACCTGTCTGTTCTCCACCAACAACAGTGTGTGTGTGAGGGCACTGCAATGTACCTGTCTGTCCTCCACTAACAACATTGTGTGTGTGTGAGGACACTGCAGTGTACCTGTCTCTCCTCACCAACAACAGTGTGTGTGTGAGGGCACTGCAGTGTACCTGTCTGTCCTCCACTAGCAACAGTTATGTGAGGGCACTGCAGTGTACCTGTCTGTCCACTACCAACAACAGTGTGTGTGAGGACACTGCAGTGTACCTGTCTGTCCTCCACTAACAACAGTATGTAAGGGCACTTCCGTGTACCTATCTGTTCTACACCAACAACAGTGTGTGTGAGGGCACTGCAGTGTACCTGTCTGTCTTCCAACAACAACACAGTGTGTAAGGGCACTGCAGTGTACTGTCCTCTACCAACAACAATGTGTGTGTGTGAGAGAGAGCACTGCAGTGTACCTGTCTGTCCTCCAACAATAACAATGTGTGTGGTGATGCCAGCACTCTTTAAGAAACTACAGTGTGTATACCTAACAAGCTTTGTCCATTGTTTGATAATCATTTGACCCAGTGGATTTTGACCCATATTTCCAGTCTGTTAATTAAAGGTCTCTTTAATTGAAGAGTTACTGTATATGACATATGCAAACCCCTGGTCAATTTGCAGGACAGACTGGCTGGACACTGCTGTTGACCCTTGCTTAATGAATATTCGCTGAGCATAATTTTGAGGAACAGCCAAAAAATAAAAATTCCCTGCTTGAATACCATTTTTATGCACTTGCAATGACCTCATGCCAGGCAGTAACTATTATTAACTGACAAGGCGTATACATACCTGCTGTTATTTCAATAAAATATATTTCTTTTACTAGTTCCATATGTGTCAGTTTACAGTGGACCCCCGGATTAAGAAGTCATCAGAATAAGTAATAATTGGAATAAATAAAATTTTTGCGTCAAAATATTGGCTCGGTGAACATCACTGAACTCGGTATAAGTCATTCGTGTTGGGGCCTGATCTGCCCAGTGTGCCATTGTTTACCAGCCAGCGAGGACGACGATCCCACACATTCATACAATACATTTTGTATTATTCCATTCTTTTTAGTGCTTGTAACTGCTAAATAAGCCACCATGGGCCCAAAGAAAGCTTCTAATGCCAGTCAGCCCTTTGGTAAAGGGCTGAGAGAGAGAGAGGGGAGAATGTGCCTTTTTCAGTGATTCTGCAATATGTATGATACTAAACAGCAGGAGTCTATAAAGGTTATAGTGCCAGCCAGTGATAAAATGTAGCATTAACTTAATCGATAGAAAAAGGGCAGCATGAACCAAACTCCTCCAATGTTGTTGGAGTTATATAGGGTGACTAACAACACTGCCGTCTCTAGTCTCTACTGTTGCTGCCACCTCCACCACCGCTATGTATGGTTTATGTCTCAGTGGCCCTTATATACCCAACAACAGTAACACAGCAACACTTGTGACATACTTAATGACGTATTTTATTCATTCTAGAGTATGTCATGTTTCTGTGTTATTAATATTGTTTATTATGTCAGATGAATTGTGCTAGATAAATAAGCCGTAGAGCTGATATTAGTGTGATATTGAAGGACTATCTTGTTCTCTCTCCCAGCACAATTCCTAACATATGCCAGAAACAGACCTGTCTGGAAAACTTTTTTGAGCAACAGGGGTCCAGCGACTCTCAAGCTGGTCCTAGTGGCATTAAAAAACAAAGGAGGGAAGTAACCCAGGATAAGGACTTGGTACCTGAAGTCTTTATGGAGTGGATTTCCCTTCCAAACAATTGTAAACTCCTCCATCCTCTCCCCTCCTCTCGTCTTCCATACATCACCATGTCTTCAATAAAGGTAAGTTTGATGTTATTATCACTATTCTTCATGTATCATTGTTTTCTGTGTAGGTAAATGTATGTTTCATGTAGAAAACATTTTTTTAATACTTTTGGCTGTCTGAAACGGATTAATTGATTTCCATTATTTCTTATGGGGAAAATTAATTCGGAATAAGTCAGATTCGGGATAAGTCATTCTTCCTGGAACGGAATAATTTCGTAATCTGGGGGTCCACTGTATTTTAAATAAAATTTACTGAAGAAAAATATGGGTGTGATGTATGGGTTGTAAATGTTGCAGCAAGGAGGAGGCTGGAGGAAGTGGAGATGTCATGTCTGAGGGAAATGTGCAGTGTAAATATTATGAAAAGAATTCGTTGTTTGGAGATTAAGATGAGTTGCAAGGTTACTGAAAGTATTATGCAGAGGGCTGAAGAGAAGTTATTGAGGTGGTTCGAACATTTAGAAAGACTGGAGCAAAATAGGGTGACTTGGAAGGCATATAAATCTGTAATGGAGGAAAGGCAGGGCAGGGGTCACTCTAGAAAAGGTTGGAGGGAGAGAGTAAAGGAAGTTTTATATGTGAGAGGCTTGGATATCCAGCAGTTCCCTACAGCCTGATCGTGGACTGGGCTGCGGGGACGTTGATCCCCAGAACACCCTTCAGGTAGGTAGAGCATGTTAGATAGGATTGAGTGGAGGCAAGTGGTTTTTATGACTTTGTGCTGTTCGAGTGTGAGCAAGGTAACATTTATGAAGGAATACAGGGAAATCAGTTAGCCAGACTTGAGTCCTGGAGGTAGGAAGTACAGTACCTGCACTCTGAAGAAGGGGTTGGAATATTTGCACTTTAAACAGGTATCTGAGCTGTAATGTCATTACATCTCTGGCAAGACAATGGTGGAGTGAGTGATGGTGAAAGTGTCACTTCTTTTTCAGGTCACCCTGCCTCTGTAGAGGATGGCTGGTGTGTTAAAAAATAAAAAGAACCTCAGATCAGTTGTAATATACAATACCACATTTCTTGACCAAATATAGCAGACAAATAGGGACCCACTAAGCCTACACCAAATTACAGTAGACAAATAGGGACCCACTAAGCCTACACCAAATTACAGTAGACAAATAGGGACCCACTAAGCCTACACCAAATTACAGTAGACAAATAGGGACCCACTAAGCCTACACCAAATTACAGCAGACAAATAGGGACCCACTAAGCCTACACCAAATTATAGCAGATAAATAGGGACCCACTAAGCCTACATCAAATTATGAATATAGACAAATAGGGACCCAATGAACATACACCAAATTATAGCAGACAAATAGGGACCCACTAAGCCTACACCAAATTATAACAGACAAATAGGGACCACTAAGCCTATACACTAAATGATCATAAGGCATGAAGCAGTCTTTCGATGGAGTATTGCATAGATCTGATAGAAGATGGAGTTAATCTCAGCTCTTTCATCCTCTTCAGATGGAATTTGGTCTGTCTGCTACTTACACACTGTTGTAAAAGGTACAGTAACACTGAAAAGATGTCACTGTTGACACGTGTGTACAGTTCATGACATTTATTGCAAGAAACACTTCACCATGATACTGCAGTCTGAGATATTCAGTAATGGCAAAATGTTTCTTGCAATATATGTCATGAGCTGTACACAAGTGTCAACAATGACATCTTTTCAGTGTTACTGTACCTTTTACAACAGTGTGTAAGTAGCAGACAGATCAAATTCCATCTGAAGAGGATGAAAGAGCTGAGACTAACTCCATCTTCTATCAGATTTATGCAATACTTCATGTTAAAGACTGCTTCATGCCTTATGATCATTTAGTGGTTCCTATTTATCTGTTATAATTTGGTGTAGGCTTAGTGGGCCCCTATTTGTCTGCTATAATTTGGTGTAGGCTTAGTGGTCCCTATTTGTCTATAATTTGGTGTAGGTTTAGACTAAGGTCCCTATTTGTCTGCTGTTATTTAGTGGGTTTCTATTTGCTATAATTTGCAGTAGGCCTAGTGGGTTCCTATTTGTTTGCTATAATTTGGTCAAGAAATGTGGTATTTTATATTACAACTTATCTGGATAAATGTTCACAATTATTTTTTATTTTATTATTTCTTCAGTTTTTTTAGATAGGATATACTAATGCATATGAATATATGCTGCACAATTTTAAAATTATATTTGACATACACAAATGGGAACATCAAAACATGGAAATGGAGGGGTACTGAAGTAGGCCTACTGGTCATTCTCATTCATATATTTGTCCTGTGACCTGCTTGGCAGTTTCTCTCACTCATTGACAACACAGATACTGAACAAGTACTTTCCTATATACAGTGGACCCCCGGTTAACGATATTTTTTCACTCCATAAGTATGTTCAGGTGCCAGTACTGACCGAATTTATTCCCATAAGGAATATTGTGAAGTAGATTAGTCCATTTCAGACCCCCAAACATACACGTACAAACGCACTTACATAAATACACTTACATAATTGGTCGCATTCGGAGGTAATCGTTATGCGGGGGTCCACTGTACTTTCTAAATGTAATGTTATCCAATTTGAATCTATTCAGGTTCTTTCTTTTTTGGACATCCTCAGTCATATCTCCCCTCAATTTGTCTTTCAAGAGAGTGTAGGTTCTGGTTTTTCAGCTCCTTGTACAACTAATTAATTTTGTCATTGTTCTCTGTATGAAGACCAGATCTGAGTTCTTTATGGCTGTATAGTGCTGTAATATAACCTGTTACATATACTTCTTGGTATATCCAAGTAATCTGTTAACCTTATTATGCACACTTAAGCACTGTTGTCTTGGTTTAACCCTTTCAGGTTTTCGGCCATACCAGTACGGCTTATGCACCAGCATTTTTGACGTACTAGTACGCCTAAATTCTAGTGCCCTCAAATCTAGTGAGAGAAAACTGGTAGGCCTACATATGAAAGAATGGTTCTATGTGGTCAGTGTGCGCAGTATAAAAAAAATCCTGCAGCACACAGTGCGTAATGAGAAAAAAAAACTTTCCCGTGTTTTTGATTAAAACAGCGACTTTGCACTGTATTTTCGTATGGTATTTATTGTTGTACATATTCTAGTTTTCCTGGTCTCATTCTATAGAATGGACGACATATTACAGAAATTGAGATGATTTTGACTGATTTTACAATGAAAAGTACCTTGAAATTGAGCTCAAATTAGCAGAAATGTTAAATTTTTACCAAAGTTCAAAAGTAAACAAATCATGCTATGTGTCCAATACACGTCAACTGGTGAGTCTAATAGTATTCTTTTGCAAGTGCGTCAATATTATTTATACCATTTTTTACACTAATGCAGTAGTCTGCATAACAGTAAATCTTCTATTTTTTGTGAGAATAAAAATTCAAAGTGGAAAGCAAAAGAATGTAAGAAGGGCGTTGAGCCGTGATAATGAACAGAGGAAATGTCATTTTAGTGCCAGGAATGTCTTTCTTGTTTATTCTGGACCCTATTTAGAAATTGGCATGTTTTGAAATTTGTGTGAAATTAGCAAAATTGCTAAATTCTGACCACTTTATTGGATAGTTAAAATCGGTAAATGGGTGGTTTCTTTCACGCATTCGATAGAAAAAATGGAGTTCTAGCAAAATATTCATGATTTTTGTCGACTAGTACAGTGGAATTGGCCGAAAATAGAGCTCAAAGTGGGCAAAATCGCTGGTGCATAAACATCGTCGAGACCGTTAACTTTGCGAGAGCATAATTCCGTAAGTTTTCCATCGAATTTCATACTTTTGGTGTCATTATGATCGGGAAAAGATTCTCTGTCTTTTCATAAGAAAAAATAATTTTTTTTTTTTTTTTTTTTTTAAATTTGGGTGACCCTGAGAACAAGTCTCTGAAAGGGCCTGTCGACCCTGAAAGGGTTGGTCTCTGCTTACCATGATTCCTAAGTCTTTTCCACATTCTTTATTAAGGTGTTAGGGATATTCTCATTTCCAGTGATTAGGACTTTGCATTTTCCTACATTGAACTACATCTGCAACTTTTTGAACCATGACATTAGCTTGTGCAAATCTTCCTGAAGTTCACTTATCTTCCTTTGTCTCTGTTATTTGGTCTACTTATGTCATCAGCAAATCTATTCATGTTTCATTTTAATTCCTCATCAAGGCCATTATTGTAAATTATGAACCACAGTCAGTACAAAACTAACCTTGTGGGTGTCACTTGTGGCTGGTCTCCATTCTGATTTCACCCCATTTATGCAAATTTTCTTCTTCCTATTAGTTATGCCTTGATCCGTGAGAGAGTTTTCCTGCCCTACCATGTGTTGTCACTTATTATTAACAGTCCTCTGTGTGGGACTTTGTCAAAAGCCCCAGTTAAGGGAGGTTACTTAATGCCAGTAAGGTTTTTAGTTCAAGAAATTGGACTTGCTCTTCCCTTCCTTGGATTGCATGTGAATGCCTCTCATTTCTCTTAATAAAATGAAAATAAATATTTTTTTTATTTCTTTGCTTAGTATACAGTGTGTAATTTATGTGTAATAACATATTGTTAAACACAAAGACAGCCACTAGCATGCATAAGTATCAAGCAGATTAATGCTAATGCTTACTGGCTACTTAAAACTGGACATGGGTTATGGAGTGGTAAATTTTTATTATGTAACATTAATAAAATTTATAGCAGAGAGGTACCAAACAAAATTACAATTAGCACAATTTACAATAGTACAATTAAGCATGTATTAATACTTAAATTGATTTAGTGATCTTAAGTTAGTCGGGACTTCTTGAGTAGTTTCAAACTAGTTTAGTAATTCATACAGCCCCTTTCTCCCGGAATTTTAGTTGCCGCTTACAACACGCATGGCTTACGGAAGAAGAATTCCAGGTCTTTTTCATATTCCTTTTTTTTTTTCATTAAATCTGCTTATATAATACAGTTGTTTAGATTTCTGTATTAGAAATATCATTTTGTCTGTTTTTTTTTTTGTTATTAAGCCCAGTCTGAACTGTTTTTAATATTGATGTTTTTTTATCAATGGATTTGAGGATACTGTTTGTAAACTCTCATCAAGGTCGTTGATATATATTATAAACTACAACGGGCCTAAGACTGATCCCTGTGGAACGCCACTTGTACAGATTCCCATTTAGATTTAACCCCATTTGTGCACACACTCTGTTTCCTGTTCGTGAGCCATGACTCAATCCATGACAGCACTTTTCCCCCAATGCCATGAGCTGCCAGGAGGTTGCGTCCTTGACAGAGATGTATTGCTTTCTGTTAGGTAGGACTTGATAAATGCAAGTGCATGGCCTCTTATACCATAATGATCAAGCTTGAGGAGTAGGATGCTGTGATCTGTATCAAAAGCTTTCTCGAGGTCAATAAAGAATCCATGTGGGTATTCATTTTTTCCCAGTGCTGTGTATAGTAGGTCCAGCATTTTTATTATTGCATCATCTGTGCTTTTGTTTCTCCTGAAGCCAAACTGGCAGGAGTTAAGGATGCTTTGTGATGTTATGAAGGAATATAACCTCTTGTGTATGAGTTTCTCAAAGATTTTGGAAAGTTAAGGCAAATTTGATATTGGCCTGTTATTGTTTACATCTGCTGGGTCTCTGCCTTTGTGTATTGGGGTAGTCTGTGCTGTTATCTGTGATTATCCCTGCTTTTAGTGGGGATATAGTATTTATAATAATTTCTTTATTTCTACAAGTACATGTACAAGGTATACAGGCCTAGCTGACATCAATGAAATACTACTGTATAGAAAGCCACTTGTTATGCAGAGCATTTTGGGCAAATTAGGTCAGTTTTGTCCCGGGATGTGACCCACACCAGTTGACTAACACCCAGGGACTCATTTTTACTGATGGGTGAACATGCACAACCAGTGTAAGGAAACACACTGGGAATCAAACCTGGACCCTCAGCATATGAAGTGAGAGTTGTGCCACCAGGCCATGGTCCAGGCCATGGTCAAGGCCATGGTCCAGGTATGGTCAAGTAATGAGGCACCTGTCTCAGATTCTTGTTGGCTTAGTTATAGATGGTAGTAGCAAGCAGTTGTTCAAAGTGTTTGTAAAGTTGGTTACTTGATGGGCAGCTGCTTGGATGAGGTTATGTTTAAGTTGCAGCAAGTATCAGGTGGTGTTTATTCATCTCTGAGTCAGTTATAATGTTTCTTAGGTTATTGAATGTACAAGAATTTGTGAAGTAACCTGTAGACTGCTCCAACTGTTATTGTTTTTTTAGGTTTTTGAATGAGAATTTTGCAAATATATATTCACCAAGTAGATTTAATACATTCTAATTAATCATAATAGTAGCTAGCACTATTACCACCTAATTGATCAGGCATACAGTTATGTATGGCTGTGTAACT